AGCATAGTTTCCTATTGCAGTCTTAACAGCAGCTAACTGTCCTAACATCTGAGGTGAGGTTATTTTTATTTAACATCGCATTGGCCAACCCCACACTGTGTGAAAAAGACTTGTAGGCTATACTTTAGTATGAGTTGTGTACTCCATGGCCACCTCTGATCACCAGGGATTCAGTAAATGAGTGCAAATGAGTACACCGATTCACTTCCACTGGTACACTTATCCACAGCACATACCATTCAGCTGGTTTGGGGGAAAATTACAGGGAAGATTATACATGGAAGGATGGTGTATTGGTGAGGGGTGGCCGGCCGATTTTGATGGGCCACTGTGGTGTATAACATATGTGTATCTGGCCATTACGTGCATCCGGCCATTACAGTTTAACATAATGCTCTGCAGCTGGTGAGAGGAACAGTGAACCCTTATGAGGAAGTAATGATTGATGGGTGAACCAAGAGTGAACCCTCCTATAGAATTTGACCCCTGACCCAGAGCTGGAGAGAGACACAGTGGTAGGGGAAGTGGTGTCTAACAGATGGTTACACTTAGTCTACAGCACTGTGCCCTTATATGGTATTTAGCAGAGACCTAAACATGTCTTATATAAGCTGTGTTCAATGTACAGAGAGACAGAGTGGTTATCGGGCTGGGTCACTCTCCAAGCTGCTGCAGAGCTTGTAATTGATGCTGAATTCTTTGATGTAATAAACTTTTATAATCAAGAACAGTGTCAAGCGGATTTCTTCTCAACACATCATCGCAGCATTATCGTTCGGACACCACACCACCTGGACCAAAAATGCCAGGGCCGATTTTTTGTCCCCGTCCGGCCCTGGTAGCATCCCTGCATGTATTGAAGTTCTGCTCCCACCTGGAGTTGCTGGATCTCTCAGCTTTATTTGTCTTCCTGTTGGGCTGCAGAACACCATAACCTTATTAACACCAAACACCTCAGCAGGCTGGGCACCACCTACAGTATCTGCAGAGTAAAGGGGAATGACTTTCTACAAAGATAGTAATAAAATCTTCAGTTTCATATTTTAAGGCCTTGCACTGTGTGGGTACTCAGTGATGCAGGGAAGGCTTTAGCTTCACCTTTCCATCTCCATCTCCATCTAGTGGGCATCTCAACACTAACAGCCTGCCATAACCCAGTATTACAAGATGACGCTGCTAAGTGCAAATTACTCTGGAATAGCGATGATCTAATAAAAACTAGAAGGGTATCAAATAACTTAGTGTGCTTGAAATTTGCTTTATTACTTGTTTTTTGCATCAGAGAGAGAAAACCATTTGTGTATTAACGTAAAGGTTGAAAAAGATGTCTTGCAACCAGACTGATTTGAAGCCCAAAATCAGTTATATTAAACTATGTTTCCCAAGATCATGTGCCTTTGAGGAAGGCCTGCTTCAAAAGGGTGTTGATCTATGATTGAGCCTAGCCTCAGTGAAGAACCACATTTTAATGTTCCTCTTTTGATAAGGAGGCACTACAAAGACATGCAATATAAATGCTGACAAAGTTCT